TTTTTTTTTTCCACACTCAATTTTGACTGATTCTGCGTTGCCTGTCTGGATGAGTCCCTGCAGTTTTCAAGGCAAGGTGTTTCAGAAGTGGTTTGCCATTGCCTCCTTCCTAGACCAGAGCCCAGCTGGCGAGCACAGGAGGTGGGGTTTCCGTTGCTTCACACCTTTTTCGGGCATGTGCAGCTTCCGCGTTACCGGCAACTGGTCCCATCTCCTTTGCAAGGCGCCGCCAACATTTTTCCTCCCACCGCGGGGAGAGGACCCATTTATCTACTCACGTAAGTTTTTGAGCTGCTGGGTTGGCAGGAGCTGGGGAGGAAGCAGGGACTCACTCTGCTACACGGAGCTGGGCTCGAACCGCTGAAGTGTAGACCATTTCTGGCCGGCAACTTTCAGCGTCAATAATAATAATAATAATAATAATAAATAATAAACAAGCCTATTCTGTGGTCAAAATGATAAATGATAAATTGTGACTATTTCTCCATTCCATTTCTCCTATATATTCAGAATCTCTTACTCAAATTGCTGTTCAAGGTAATAACTCCTTCTTGGGAAGGAACACATAGGATTGTGCACTTCCAGGCTATTGTGACATGTTTGCAAAATCGTAGTACATAACATCACTCATTTTCATTTGGAGCTAGATGCCACTCATACAGAGTCTAGAGTGGTGACTAGGCAACATCTTGCAATAGTTATCTCGGATTCATGTGATTTGGTGAAAGCCAAGGAAACAGACTGGGTTTTCTGTAGGATGAACTCCATAAAACCTATATAGCTTAGGAATGAACTCCAAATGGAATTTTCTCTGTCTGTGAAAATATGTAGGGAAGGAACGTTTGTGGTCCTTTCTCTGCAAATCAAGGGAACAGAGACAGAACTGTAATCTGTCTCTATAACAACTTTTTAGTTTCTGCAGGGCTGTGAAGATTGTTAAATAGACATTTTGAATATGATTATTATTGTTTATATGAAATTTTTGTAGCATGGGTGTCATTTTTTAATATTGGTTGGTTATTGGTGGTAGAGATATCTTCCCCCTGGAAATATTTATTATTTAATCCCAGCCTTCCTTCCTTTTTTTCTTTTTAAAATAACTTTATCTTAACAGATATATAAAAACACAACCAAGAAAGGGGGGAAAAAGAAACAGACAGCTTTGTAAGCAATATAGAATTGAAAACAAATTTTCAAAATAACATTAATTACTACTACTTATAAAGTGATATTTACTGTTTTTGAAATAAAAAAAATCAATAATTAGCAGAAGTAGCCAATATAATAAAAATAGAGCCTATAAACTGCCCAGAGTCTTGGAAGCTGGTTAGTATACAAACATATGTAAGTAAGTAAATACATAATGCATTAAAATATTTAATTCCTAACAAGAACTTACATTACCTACAAGATAATTTTCAGGCTATAACTCTGAACCCAAATCCTGAACAAGAATTCGACAAGTAATAAACAGATATCAATTTTCCCATTCATGCTGACGTCAAGAACAAATAGGTTCATGCACAAGAAAGTGACATGAATATACAACAGAGGAACTCTTTAAATATTCTAAAACTCTTCAAGTACTATCTAAATGCATAAAGGTAGCTGTATTTTATATTGGGCTCCATTATATAGATATTGCAGCTGTTTTGACCATTTGCCAATGCGACATATTTTTCGGATGTGGACCTGAACAGCGAAAACTATTAGAGATGGCAGCCGTCCAATTAAATCTAATGTTTACTGAAGCCTCTGATGAAAAATTAGCTATGTACAACTACCAAATAAAAACTACCAAATAAAAGCACATCATAAAAAGAAGTACAATTTCATATGGTTTCAAGATTTTTCAGCAGCTGGATGGATTTCTTTAGAAAGAGACATGTGCTAAAGCTCTCAAGTTACTAGACTTCTCTTTCTTGGAAGCAAAGGTCACATAAGCCGGGGAAGAGTAGGGGGGAAAGCTTTCTACATTTCTTTCTTTTAATGCACTGATTTATCGGAGTTTAGCAATGGGGGTTAGGAAGAAAAACATCAAAAAACTGGAAATCCAGCAGTGTTGGAATTACACAGTTATCTCTAATGGAAAAAAGTAAACTTAAAAGCAGACAACTTATTTTGGGAGATGGAAAAAATGAAACAACTCCACTGGAATTCTGTTTCTAAATATTATCACATTAAGTCTTTACCTGCTGGTATTCAAATAATAATAACTGTCCATAAAAAAGAATCAGGAGGAAGAAGAAAATGTGTCCTTTTATCATTCTTAATAACACTAACATTATATACAAGAGTGAAATTATCTATTCTTAAGTAAGCACCTGCAGATATTACTATTGCTTTTGCATGGGGATGGCTAGAAAGTAAACCATGCAATTTGCCATGTTACCACTGCATTCTGTAACCATTTTATTGGAAAGGACATCTCCACAAACTCATAATTTTCATCTACAGTAGCAACCTAGAACCAAACCTCTTCCAGGAGGTTTCTTCACAGCAATCTGACAACTTCAATTTCAGAAAGGATTGATGTTTTAAGAAAAAAATGGGCCAATGAAAATAGCAGTTGAAGGGCGACCTTACACAATGCTAACAAGATATAAAGACTCCTTCCAGCTGCTCAAACTAGACTGAATGAGGAACAACACATTCAGGGCTGCTGGCCAAAATTCAGAAATGCTAACATGGAGATGTACCGTATTTTTCCATCAATAAGATGCCCCCATGTACAAGACGACCCCCACTTTTCCAACCCAAAGTTAAGAAATCAATATTTTAAAGATAGTGCAGAACACATTTTTATTTAGTAATTAGTTAACATTTACAGTGGTACCTCGGGATACGAACTTAATGCGTTCCATGACTCTGGGCG